AGTTGATATTCAATAACATGCATTTATAATGGACCCAGTCAGCATAGTTTCATGACTTTCTCTAGATCTGTTCAGCAGCATGTGTGATGGAGCAAAGGAGGAAGATGGTAGGAAATCTGGGTTTTGGGTTCAATAAGTTATAACCAGTGATAGGACAAGAGGCCAAAAAATTAAGAATAGCCAATAGTATAGAATCACATTGGATCACTAAGGGGGCTGAGAATGGGAAGAGTGATGCCAGAGCAAGGGTAAAAGCTTGGGAAAGTGCTGAATAGTAGGAAAGTAAAAGAAAACGAAGGGATAAATAATGCTTAGAGTGAGTAAATGAAACAGTATTTTTGTGCTTCATTCACGGAAATTATTTAATTTAAATGTAAAAAATTACTAAGTAAGTTTAGTTGTTTATACTGACATTCAATGTTAAGATTCAACAAAAAATGTAAAAGATGAACCATATGACCTTGTCCCTTTAATTTCTAATTATGTAAGTTTGTTTTATATTCTGTTTTTCTCTCTGGGATTTCCCAATAATGGGCTAGAATAGTTTAAAACTTAATCATCTATGAGCTCATCAATATCAACACTCCTTTTAACGGTGCAGATCACAACCTAGCCAGGTCTTTTTATCTTGTATAATTCAATATCATAATAAAATTGGGAGTCCTGCTAGGAGACAGAGGTTGTCTATTTTCAACCTATAACAAACTCAAAGATGGTAATAGAATTGAGCAAGGACAATGGGGTTAGACAGAACATGCAACTGAAACCCTGGTTCCTTCTTTAGGTATTAAACAGCTTTGTGGCATGGTTTCCAATAGTAGACAAACTAGGCCTAATTCTATTTTGACATTTTATTTTCCTTTTCAGTGATAAGAACAAAACAAAAACAAAAAAACCCCAACCCACAACTTTTTTGACACTCCATAAACATTTCTTTGTAAATATGGTCATTTCTGCAGGCAATCTACCCATTCTGTTATCCTTTTTTATGATTCAATTTTAGGAAATTAATAAGTAATTCTAAAGTACAAGGTCCTGTGTTATTACTAAAATACAGATATGATCATGGCAATCCCCCATCCAAAAATATTAAGTGGTTCCCTATTGTTTCTAAGAAAAAATACAAGATCTTCAACCTGCAACAAGGTTCTATAATATGGCTCCCACTGAACTTTCCTATTTGTATGTATATAATTTCACACATTCTCAGTCCTAAGCTAAATAGTCCTGCTAAGCCATTCCCTAAACACATTTTGTCATCTGCCGCCTGAATCCACATAGGTGGCATGTTTGACCTGCACTCTTACCACCAACTCTTAAAAGCTCTTGTCTCCTTCAAGGAACAGCTCAGGTAGCAATTACTACAAAAAGTCTTTCTGATTACCTCCCTGCTTCCCCCTACCCTCCCCCGCCAACTCTGCCTTGTTAGTATTTTCTCTCCCTTAAATTATATGAACTTATGTCCATGTTGTATCTCTTTAGTGAACTAAAGCTCTTTGTAGGAGAGGATGCTTTCCTTTTTGCCTATCTTTGTATCTTTGGTTCCTAGAACATAAAAGACATTTATAAGATAAATGTTTACCAAACTGAACTGAATTAGTTGGGGGCGAGGAATTAGGATTTGGGAGTCTTTATGAGACAGCTAGATGGCTGAGTGGATGGAGCACTGGGCCTGGAGTCAGGAAGACCTGAGTTCAAATATGGCCTCAGACACTTACTAGCTATATGGCCCCTGGCAAGTCTTTTAAGCACTTTTTGCCTTAATCAACTGGAGAAGGAAATGGCAGGTCATTCCAGTAACTTTGACAAGAAAACCCCATGGACAGTATGGCCCACAGAGTAATAAAAAGTCAGACATGACTGAACAACAATGAGATTCTCAGTGAGTCTATCTTTTGCTATGAAGAATCACTAAGAATGTCACAGGGATATAACAATTAAAATGAAGGTAAACTGAGGCACAAAGTTTCAGGCACAATCAATTTATGAGGAAAGCATGAATTTACCAATAAATAGTATCTCAGCTTCTTCAGCAAAGTTAAGACCCCAAACAAGGGGGACAGCACTCTTTTATAATTTGGGGAAGTCCAGAACAAAAAACAGTACTTTGTAGGTGGTGAACAAATTATGGTTGGTTACAAGAGCTCAATATCATGAAGGGAGAAATCAATATTATTGGTTACAGAGCTCAGGCATGGGGGACAATATGATTGGTTAGAAACTGGGAATGAGAGGTTAGTAACAACCCCTCCTTCCCTCCTGTGACTAAGAAATATCCATTGTTTGAGTCTACCTATGAGGTTAGAGACAGTGGACCACATTTCTTTGGGTAGTGAACTGGACTTCTTGAAGGGCTTGGTGATGTGAAGATAATAGACCAGACTCCTGGTGTCCACCGGCATTCCTTAAGGAGAACAGATTTCTTTGATGCAAGAATAGAACAGCGATTAGCAAGAGAGCTGGATTTCTAAACTTAACTCATTACAGGGCAGCTGAATTTCTGACCTAAGTTCAGAAACAAAGAACCATGACATGGGCAATTACAAAACAAAATCCATTAACTATAAATAGGATTGATTAAAAGATGATACAGAATTATTTCAGATTATTTCAGAGACTCTCAAATCTTAACTCCTCACTCCCAAGAGATTCAATTTAATTCAGTAAACATCCTCACTAGACTTTATCTTTGGAGCATAAAATACACAAGAGAGAAGAGAGAAGATGACTTTGCTTTGTACAAGTGTGAGACTAGATTCATCTTGGCTTTGTACATACTAGAAAACACTTGTTCAATCACATAAAGTAAGGCCAAGGTTGTGCATTACTGCAAAGGTTCAAGAGTTAGCACACTCATTGATTTTGAGTCATGGAAACTTATTTCATTGGGCTTCTAAAACTACAGGTCCTATTAATGGCATTTCAGTCTTTTCCACAAATCTATCTGTTGCCACCCTTTTTAGCATACTCTTTTAATGAAGTCAACATTTTCTGGAACAATGAATATCTTCTCTACAAGTTAGTAATTCTCAAGCTTTGTGGGTCATTTAAAAATATCATGATAAGTCTTCCATGACATGACACAGCAAATTTTATTTTTCTTTCCTGTCCATTATTATCGTAAACATTGTGAGAATCTAACATTTTGCCTACCTCTGATTTATACAAGTTAGGAGTGTCTTACCAGACCACATAATGACAAACTTTAAAATCAGGGGCAGACCACTACTACAGAAGGCCACTGGACTTCAGAGTCTCCAGGATTACTTATACTTCTTTTCTTTTTAAATTTTTTCCAAGTTACAGACAGAAGTGTCAATGACCTGCTACCTTTCGATCTTCTCCCTACTGGTTCCCTACCTTTACAATACATCCCCTCTCCTTTGTAGGAGCAGTTCAACCCTGCCCAAATTTGCCCTTACTAAAACCCAAACACATTTCTGTGCCCACAATAAAAGAAGAAAAAATACTCAAGGTTTCAAAAATGATTAATTTTAATTAATTCTTCCATTCCTCATAGTTACGTAGATAAAATTATTTGTAAATATCTACACATATATAATATATTTATATATATGTATGTATACATATATATATATATATATATATATGTACACACTATATTTTTGCACACATTTTATGGATTTTATATGGAGCCATTTATTCTCCCTGAAAATCAATTCAAAACAAAAACATATCTTTTTAATACCAAATAGTCTTTTGGTGGTGTTTTATATTTCTGATTCACAAAATACTATAGCCCACAAAGAAATAAAGATGAGATCAATCAGTGGGCAAAAGAAAGGGGCATAGTGGGTGGGAGCAGCCTGACTAACACAGCAATTAGACAACAATGAAGGAGAACTGAAGTAAAAAGGTGGCATCCAAGAAATGACATTGTACCTAAAAAAGGAGAAGAGCTGATCATTAGGTGAGAGCAAAGGAAAACTGTTGTACAATCCAGATGTCACACTGGGAGTCTTAAGATGTCCAAAAAAAAAATAAGGAAGACCCCTCACTTCACAAAGGTGAACCTTTTGTGGTTAACCTATGGGAGAAAATACAAGAATTGCCTAAAAAAGGCAGTCTTAAATGGTTTGCAATCTGCATCTTTGAGAACATCCATATTAATGTGATCACATTCCGTTTGAATGTTAAGTATAATCATTTATTAATTAATTCTGAACTATAGCATAACAAATGTCTCCCAGACATGCTTGCTACTTAGGAAGAATAGATACATGTCTTTATAATGCCCCAAAAGTCTTAAAATGCAGTTTTAAACTTTGATAGCCTATGTATGAATACATATATGTGTATATATATACATACATACCTGTGCATGTATATATAAATATATACACATATATCATTAATATTCATTCAATAATGAGCTAATAATCACTGTAAGTTTGAGAAGCTACACATAACGAAGTCAGTTTTTAAAACAACCACTTGAAGAAAGGTCACATCTATTTTGCAACTATATCTTATACAACTGAAGAGGGTATTAAATGGCTTGCAACTACAGGGGAGGGATTTATTCATATTTTGTTTTATAAACTGAATCACCTTTTTGAGTTATGGAAAGATTGATATTAAAGTACTGAAGTTACTCAATATCATATATAATGGAGGCATTCAAAAGGGTATCACTTACCATGTTTATACTTTGCCCCTAAATATGCCAAGGATCTCTGATTTCAGGAATGTAGGGAATTTCTGGTATGGAAATGTCATCCACCAACACGAGGACTAAACCATACATGCTTAAGTAAAAGGGGGATGCTTGAAGTATGCAGTTTAAGTGATTTGGCGCGGGTTACACAGGTAAGAAGTATCAGAGAGGATTTCAAGCTCAGTCTTTCTAATTCCAAGCTGAGAATTCTTTCCACTGTGCTGAGCTGCCTCCCAATTGTCCCTAAATATAGTTGATAAAATTAAATACAAGCAAACAAATGAAATCTTAAGTCAACCAGAGACCATCACTATCACAATACCTTCATGGGAGCAAGTTGAATGGGTGTGATGGATGAAGGGTCCACTACAGGCTTTGGTCGATTGGCTGTGTCTGCCAGCAAGCTGTGCCACTGCTGTGGGAGTCCTGTGAACTTCTGTTCTCGGGGATCAAACCCAGTATGAACTCTGTGCTCAAAATTAGATGGTCCAGAGATTTCAAGCCTTTTTTTTTTCTTGCCAAACATGATGGAAAACCCTAGAAAAGAGGAGAAGCCATTGTTTCTCACCATCATACACCACATCAAAAGCCAGTTGTTAATTGTTAACAAACATTTATATACCCTAGATAAATTATATATAGATTATTTATTATATCATATAATATATTATGTTATGGCCAGTTGGTGAATATTGCAATGGTTGTACCCCTAAAACATCTAGGGACATGTGTAGGTTGTGAAATAAGAAAAGTTTACTCTCTGGGCCCTTCTTTCAATTTATCTTTGTAGCTGTATACCCTCCACCTATCTGCTCCCCACCTCTCTATTCTCCCCTAAGCTTCTCAGAGCCACTTAGAAACAGTGTTCCACTTAAGCCTGCGTTCTATGTGTAGCATCCTGGATCTTCCTTACCTGTGCTTCTATCTTGGTACTTCTGTGGTAAGTTAATTTCTACTGAGGTATTCATGTCATATGGAGTCTGAATTGTTCCTTCTTCCTGACAACACACGAAGGATAGCACAAAAAGCTTTCCAAGATTCCTTAGCTTAAAGGTATGGATAATTTGGTGAAATTCAGACAATATGCCAACCTGGGAAGCTAGGGACTTTGGGGTAGAGGGCATTTTGTTACCTCTCCAAGACTAGCAAGTTGGCTGCTTATCAGGAGACATGATATTCAATTAATCTAATCTAATTCAATTCAGCCAACACTTACTCAGTTTGTATTTCCTACATGCAAAGCACCATGCTAGTGATACCAAAGTGAAGGACACAGGGCGTGGCCCCAATCTAAGAGGAATATAGCATGTACACAAACATACAAGTAAGAATAGAATAGGAGTAATTGGGGAGTAATTCGAGAACTCTTCAAGGAGAAGGTGGTACATGAGTTGGATCTCAAAGAAAAAAGAATTTCAGTAATAATAAGAATTGTTATTACATATACTACTACTACTAATTATTATAAATAACATTTGTATAGCATTTTACATGTTATCTCTTTTTTTTTCTTTCTAAGAATCCTATGAGATGCATGCTATTATTATTCCCATTTTATACATGAGTAAATGGAGGCAGAGGGGGAAAGGTGGCTTGCCCAGGGTCACAAAGCTAGTAAGTATTTGAGCTAAGATTTGAACTCAAAGATTTTTCCTGACTTTGGCTTCTGAGCTCTATCCACTGTAACATAAAGGTACTCATCCGGTAGAAGTAAAGAAGAAATACATTCTAGGCATACTGGATAACTTGCATTGAACATACATTGGTCAGAAAAGGCAGGATGAAATTAGGAAAAAGTTATTAGTCCATTTTGACTAGAAAATAGAGTGTATGAGGGGAACGATGTGAAATCCGGCCAGGGAGGCAAATTAGAACCAAATTAGGGAGGAGACAGACCAATAGTTTCACAAGATTGGGCAGGTTGGTGCTGCAGTAGGTCCTGAGTTCAGATCTGGTCTCAGACATTAACTGTGTAATCTGGGGCAAGTCACTTAATCTATTTGCCTAAGTTTTCTCATCTATAAAATTAACTGGAGGAGGAAATGGCAAACCATTCCAGTATCTTTACGAAGAAAACCCCAAATGGGGTCCTGAAGAGTCAGACATGACTGAAAACAATTGAATAACACCATTAACAAGATCATTCTGGCAAACACGAACAAATAAATTAGAAAAAAAATAGCGGCCATGTAAGAAGTTGTTCTAAAAGCTGGGTTAAGGAGAGTTGGTGATGAGTCCTGGACTTGTATTATGGTGGTAGGGATGAAGAGGAGGGCATACCAATGATGCTGTGGAGTTAGAATCAGCAGGACTTGCCTTGGAGTAGATATGGCAGGTGAGATGGAAGGAAGAGTGCAAGATGAGGACAAACTGGGAATTTTCAAATCCAGTTGGCTGAAAGAATGATGAAAATGAAGAAAACAGGAAATTTGATAGGTGGGACAGTTATCAGAAGATCAAGAATTGAAAATTAGAAGAGCCTCAACAAACCATCTCATCCAAGTCCCTCACTAATCAGAATTAGGAAACTGAAGCCCAGAGATGTTCAATGACTTGCTTGAGATCCCAAAAATTGGGATGTGAACTAGAAATCCAGCACTCTTTCTACTATACATGCCAAAGATGACAATAATGTTTGTATAGTGCTATTGACAAAACAACTTCTACATAATCAGCTTGTTTGATAGGACACTAGGGTTCCAACAGGAGAAGTGACTTGTGACCTCTGTGCCAGGAATAAGTATCAGCAACAGGACTCAAAGTCAGATTTTTATCAACGTCCAAAGTTTCTTACAATCCACCATACTCCTTCTTAATGAAAAATATTTTAAGTTATTTGAAAAAACTTGAGATTATAGTGGACTCAGTCACCAGGATAGCAATCATCACATTAAAAGCATTTGTAAAGAGGTAGTTTGCACATATTTACTTGAGAACAAATGCTAAGGAAATGATAGGCCAAATATACTTAAGTCTTGAATTGAAAGTTCAATCTTTTCTTCCTGATTGTGAGTTGCTCCTGCTGGTTGCTATGCCAATCAAGTTGAGGTGTATAAAGAAAATCTCAATTAGAAAATAATACCATTGGGATATTTAAATTAGGAGTAAGGAAATGTAAAGCTCGGGCAGAATAAGTCTGCCTACACAGCCTCTAGCAATACTATATAATGGTGCTTTGAACAGTAACAAAGTTCTTCTGTATGTAGAGTAAGGGTGAGTTAAAGGGTTGTAAGAGGAAATGATTGAAAAGGAAAAATGGAAAATCATTTTTTCTACCAAAACATTTGTCTGAAGCACAGGCTGTTAAGTGGCAGCAAGCTAAAACTGGATGAGTAATAAAATATTGGAAGAATAGAAGGGATCTCCAAATGTAGCAAGTATGAAGTCAGTCGTCTATCTCTACTCCATCTTGGTCAGATTAGAGTTGGAGCGTCTAGTTTGGGTGTGGGTACCATCTAGAATATCCGGAGAAGAGTGAACACCATAGTGAATGGGCCTGGAATCACAGATTATTAAGATCAGTTGCAAGGACTTAGGATATTTAGCCTGGATACAAAGAAGACTTACAGGGGACAGTTTGAAGGATCAGAGGGCTGTCAAGAGGGATTAGATTTCTTCTGCTTTTGACCATGGGTCTAACATGTGGAAGCTAAGAAGATAAAGATTTCTGATCAATGAAAGAAAAGAGAAACAAAACATCCCAATAATTAGAACTATCCCAAAGAAGAATGCTTTTAGTTACATAGAGCTCCTTTTCACATGAGGCCTTCAAGCACAAAGTGAATAGCCTCTTGGGTGTTATAAAGGGAATTTTTTTTCAGGGACATGTTGGCCTTTGAGGCCCCTATCTAAATCTGAGATTCTATAGCTCTATGATAAAGTCAAAGAGGTTGAGAGGTCTACTGAGAAACCAATCCTCCTCTGATCAGCCACTTGACTCCCCCCGGGTCTGTGGCCCAGAAATTAAGGAAGCAGCTGCTTCTCTGGAGCTGCAGTCGGGCCTGGGGTTGGGACCGAGGATCTCTCTCACCATGGTCACAGACTTTTCTTACTGTCCTTCTAAGTTGTCTTTGGCATTCGTGGGTTGAGAAGTCTGGAAACTACCATAGCTGCCCATGATCCATTCTTCTGAAGGCTGCTCCAGGTTCGCTGAGGCCTGGTTTGCCTGCGCACCCATGGTGAACTGCGTTCCTCTCTTGGCCTGGCCTGATAGACCTTTCTAATCAATCATCCAGGTTATCTTGGGCTCGAAAATTGTTTCCCTCTGTCTTTCTGTGGGTTCTGCTGCTCTAGAATTTGTTTAGAGCCATTTTTTACAGGTATTTGGAGGAGTTTGGGGGAAAGCTCAAGCAAGTCACTGCTTTTACTCCGCCATCTTGTCATCGCCCCACTTAACTACTTTTTGCCTAAGTTTCCTCAACTGCAAAATGGAGATAACAGCAGCACCTATCTCCTAGGGTTGTTGTGAGGATCAAATGAGAAATTATTTATAAATAATTTAGCATTTATTAGGTGTTATATAAATGCTTAATACCTTTCCTTCCTTTTTCTTCATAGTAGTGTCCATTCAATTGAACAATATATGTTATTACCAGAAGAATGCTGCTGAATAATAAAGACAAAGGAATCAGCCAACAGCCCAAACTCTAATGTCCCATTCTAAACCCATCACACAAGTCTGGTGGCTAATTCTAATCTCAGCCTTGACCCTACTCTTCAATCCTACTACTGGACTGGTGGGCTGGTTACATTTCCTTCCATTTCACTTCTCTCTCTCTCTCTCTCTCTCTCTCTCTCTCTCTCTCTCTTCTCTCTCTCTCTCTCTCTCTCCTTTTAAACTTAGAGTAGTTTTGTAACAATATGTTCCACCCATGGCAGTTTACAGCTCTTTTCCTATCAATCCATCAGTAAACCCTTTTTTTTTTTCTGGTGCCATGGAAGCTTTAGGAATTTTATTTTATTTTCTGGGGATGATGCTGAAGGTACTTTCTGCCATTTTAAAGATAGTTTTCTTTTTTTATCCTGAGCTTTATTGTTGTTTGCTTAAAGCACATCTGCGTTGAAACATTCCTTTTTGAGCTTTATTTCAAGGCTGAACATGGGGAAAAACACTACCCCCAGAATACCTCCTCCAGTCCATTCCCCTATTTCTGTTAACCACAACCCCATAACAAATATAAAGTCTATTCTCAAATCTTATGTGAGATCTTGAGATCCCATTCTGAATATAAATCAAGGAATTTGAATAGGAAGTGCATGATAATATATGGAAGTATTCTTTCTCCTTTTTGGAAAACTTTTTTTTTTTTAAGAATTACATGTAAGCCTGAGCAAATTAGTTCTGTGAGTTGCTTAGGGAAAAAAAGAAAAAAAAATGTGTCTCCTTGTAGTCAATCAGCCCTCTGGTGACAGGCCTCTCTGTACTTGGGTAGTCTGGTCTTCAGACAAGAATCCATCACTGTGCCAGTACTAGACATATTTCTGACATGATAGGACCAATCTAAGTTTGCACACCATTGGTGTAATCACCTGGGTCC